GAGCGGTTCCTATTTGGTGCATTACCTGTCAGGATGTCTTCCTGATTGTGATTCTCTCATTTCTAATGTTAGATTATTCACTTCTATTTGTTTCCTGATGTTTTTCCGCAATCATTGGTTGAGAGTAGGCATTACGCGTTACCCTTTAATCACCGAACAGATTCTGGAGAATAGAGTGCAGTTTATGTAATTAGACGGGGCAAGCCAGTTTGTGCCTAGACCAGGAAAACGAAACAGGGATCTTTGAGGGTTACTCACTAGCCAACTAGCCTCAGCGAGTTCTATTTGCCTTGGACGATTGATTGTTTCCTCGGGAACAAATCTTCTTGAATGTTCAAAGCTGGAGTTCCGTGAAATTCCTGGAATCTAAAACGGTTTCATTTTCCTCAACTATTGAGCTGGAATTCTCAGGGGATTGTTTATCATCTGTGGAAACCTTGGCCTGACAGTTACCTTTGTTGGAGATATCATGAGTTCTTGGTGTAAATTTACCAGGCAAGAGAAGTTGCGTCAAGGGAATATTTGGCTGATGGTGGCTCTCTCTCTAACATTAGTGCTTAAAAGACCGTTTGAAATTCATGATGGCAAGTGTAATAATGCAATAGACATACAATAAAGAGGGGATGCTATTTTACACTATCTGCGATCTAAAAGCAGATGATGATCATTATTATAGTACATAATAAAGTGTGAGTGATTCATAAATCATTGCCTTGAGAAATATAAAGCGTTTTGGACTTGAGTGCCTATCTACTTTCCCATAGCACGAAGTTAACGAGAAGGTGCTCAGCGGACAAGCAGACCAGACTCATTGGATAAGCGACATCCAAGTTCTTCCCATACAAGTTATCAGTTTCCCGAAGCTTATTACGAGTTGCCTTGATAATTCCACCACTCGTTTTTGGTCAATCCTTGGATGATCCTCTGCTTCTTCCATGGCAACGGAAGTAGAAAGCTACTTTTGCTTTTCTGGGGCTACTTTTTCCATGGAGGTACGTGGGAGACATACAATTTACTCGTAGAAGGCAGAGGCAAATGCCTTTTCCATTTCATTGGCCCATCTTTTGAAGGTATTCACCGGCACACAAGTTTTTCTATTGTTTTTTAGACAATTTCAATGTAAAAGAATATTTAATTAAAATTTTTCTCATCATATAAAATTATTTGATACAAATTTCAATTATTTTGATAATTAAAAAAATCATATAAAATTAGTGTTAATATTAATTTTTTTTATCATTAAAATCGATGATTTTCTCTATATTTTTTTAATTAAAAACTAAAAAAATAAAATTTTAAACCAAATTTGATTTTTTCATAAACTTAAAAATTTGGAGAGATTCAATTCTTATAATTAATAAAAAAATAATACCTAAGATGGATATTTTGCAAAAAAAAAAAAAAAAGGCTTCTAGAACGCCACCCGTCTTCCTGTGTGTTTCGTTTTAGGTTCTTGTCTCTGAATTTTCTCCTTTGATTTTAGCTAAACTAGCCTCCAATCAAACCTTCAAAAGACAAGATTAGAAAAAAACAGAAAAAGGATATATATATATATATATATATATATATATAAAAAAAAAAACCCTCATGGTAACAGTGAATCTACGATTCCTACGAGTCTCATTCCAGCGCGTGGGGTCAGAGCCTTTGTAATTATCCTCGTCAACCCACAAGTCAATTGGAGGAAGATAAAGCACAGGCACTAGGAAGCGAGTTATCTGCCAAACAATAAAGAGAACTCAAGCTCAGTCCCAGTTTGCTCCACTTTCCATTTCATTGGCTTAAAGGACAAAAGGTCAAGGTTAAACTTTGACTCGCATTAGTTTAAACTAATAGGATTCCGTGACGTGTCACTCTCATGGGTACTTAGGTGAGAAGTTTGTTGGGGGCCACAGGTCGTGCTTATGTAAGCTTCCGTACAACAGCAAAAAGTTGATGTTGAAGTCTAGAGATAAATTCGAATAGATCCTCCAACTATAATGTAAATTTCAATTAAAACCCTTAACACCAATTTTAGCAATATTACCCTAAAAGGACCCCACATTTATACATGTTCTCTCCGCCATTAGTTTCAGCTCAAAACTCCATTGAAGAATCTTGTTTTTATCACGTGCATTTTTTTATTTTTTTTTACTTTGGAGATAAAAAATAATCCACAATCTAGGCTAATTAAATAAGATTGATGGAATGGTTTCAAAGATGTTGTGATAGAAACTAATATGTATATGGTGAATAAGATGGAATTAGGGTTTACTCTTTACTTATAAAGTGAAATCATCATAATTCACTAGTCAAAAATATGTTTTTTAATAAATCTTTCAAACTAAAACTGGTGATGAGTGAACATTGATAGATGCAAGATAGTTTTAGAGTAATATTGTTTGAATTAGCAGTGGAGGGATGTCACTGAAAGTGGCGTCATAAATAGGGGGCTTATTTGAAGTTATCCCTTGAATTGTTTTTATCAAAAACAGTCTCTCCTGTATTTCTTGATTAGAGACATTCTCATGATCAATATTGTAGTGAGCAGCCTTGCACTTTCCTATGTCTGAACTTCTTGTTTGTAGGTAAAATTCCTTTATATTATAGGTCTTGAAGGACTCTACTTCCTTTCATAGTGGAGGGCTAGCTGTTGATTTATCATCGTCATCATCTATACAATCTCTTGGTAAGACTCATCATCTTCTGCATGTATAACAAAAGTCTGTTCATTTCTTTAGCTCTCTCAGGTCAGTCCCTGTTCCACAGATCACAAACACAAACATTTCTATCTGGTTTTCAAGGTTGTGCTATGCTTGTGTTGTTCTGCTTTCGAACGTGACAAAAGGTTGCATTATTAATCATTTCTTGGATTTTCTCCTGGGCTCTGGCTAGTTGTGTACTTGTAATATCATGTATTCTTCTCTTGACTAGCACTCTCATTTTGTTCAGGAAATTCAGTGTTTAAGCTGCCTCTACCTAAGGAGCACACCCGCTTACCATCTCTCGCCTAATCCTGTGGGTATGTTATGTACGAGTGTGTTTTTTGCTTTCTTTCTTTCTAACTATAGTTGTCTGCCTAATGGGTTGTGACAAGCTTGCATTGGAGAATTTTCATAGCATTTTGTTTGATGACTTCATTCGCAAGTGAGTGACAGAAGCAATATAGCTGCTTCTTGGAATTTTGGGCGTTAACTCCTACCTCTTAGGATTGCTGTTATTTTCAAATTACAAGGCTCATGTAGTCATGTGTTGGTTTTTACGTCTTCGTCACAAATCACATGAAAAATAAGGGATTTTGTCTACTTTTCCGATTCTTCATCATCTTCTTAAATTTGTACTGGTGTTAATATTTATTCACTTTGATATATTTCGTCTCCATAATTGGGGCTGCCTAGAGAACCCACCATCTCTATTTTCCTACTAAATTACAGACGTCTGAAAGGCAAGCTGCAGCTAATCAGTTGTATCAAACTTTCGAAAACTAATCAACTGTATTCTTAATCCCTATGAGAATCATCTACTTTCCATGGCAAAATTGAAGATTTCATTATATATCCTGACCGTTTATTGGTTTCAATGGTTTCCCTTTTATTATTTTCCTGAAATATTCTGGAAAGAAAAATGTAAACTTCTCGGAAAGTGAATAAATTTCCTGTAAATGTAACATGCAGCTTTTATTGCTGTCATTTTTATTTTTTTGGTTGCCTACTCACTGTAAAACATCAAGACTCGATTTTGCAGGTCATATTACTGGCTAGTCTCGGGGAAACAATTTTTCGTTGCCATTACATGCATCATACTCTAAGTTTCTAGGTTCTTTTCCTAGGTTGCATTAATAAGACGCTGCTTCCATGCCAAAAATTTGCTCTGTCTATTGAATCTCCATTATCCATATCGTGAGTTAGATGGATCTTCTCTTGTTTGATGACCAGTCCAATAAACTCAAATTTGAAGCACTTTCTAGTCTGAATACTCATTTCTGGAAGCCCATTCACCATTGCCTCGCATCCAATGAGAGTCTTGATGGTTGCATGCATGAAATTCTTTAATTAATTGAGACATATTGCATACCCTGTATTTATTCTGTTGCCTCTCATGTCATTTCCACTCCTTTAGCTTGTGAGAAAGTGATTTTTTGTCAACCTCGAGGCATGTTTGAAAATTTTCCTTGAATGAAAATCCTCTGAAACTGAGTGTGTTCCAATCAAAATTTTAAATTTACTTCTTTTAAATCCGAGCGTGTTCCAATCAAAATGTGCTGTACGATCAGGCGTTACTAATTCTATACTCTATGAAACTGCAGTTAAAGTTGACTGGAAAATAGGAAAGACGATTAGTTTGTATCGTTTTCGTACTGTTGAGCCTACAGAAGATATAAAGGAATTTCTGGAGGAGTACTCCGGCGATGGAACAGTTGTGTCTGTTGATGTTGATCAAACAATAAGTGAGGGGTCAAGAACCAAGGCTAAAGTTCAATTCACAACCAGTAAAGCAGCTCTAAACGTCAAGCTCAGGTCTTATCTGAAAGTACGGGATATGGATTGTGATATTGTTCCAACGCGAATGGCCGCTGAGTGTACCATAGAAAACATAACACTGCACTTTGGATGTCAAGTTTCGAGAGAAAAATTTTATGCTTTCTGGAATAAGGAAAATGCTATGGTAAAATTTGGTTTTGGAAACAGGAAAATCTACCTCTTCCTGACGTACCGTTCTACAAAATACAAGCTCGAGCTGTCGTACGAAAATATTTGGCAGATTGAGCTGCATCGACCTCGGGGACAAACTAAGAAATTTCTCGTTGTCCAGGTTTGATAGTTTAAATTTCTCTCTAGATTCTTTATTGGAAGTTATCAAATGTTGTATACTTTGAATGGTAGACTGGCTATCACCATGAGAGCCATGATCCACAATACTGCGTATTTTTTTTTATGAAGAATTTTGCAACCATCTCACACATGAGTATCTATGCTAGGCATAAGATACATCAAGCTGATATTTTTCTGAAATATTTGAGTTTTGTTGAATCAATACTGGTTTTTGGCTGAACAAATCTAGCTAATCATAAACAGAAATTCTTCTCCATGACAAACGAAAAAAGAAGTGAGCTACTAGCTTAGCCAAAAAATGAAGAAAAAACTCTGTTATTGAAATATTTAGAGACTAGATTGAAGCTGATTCAAGTCTCTTTTAATATAAATCTAGTGTTGTTCTTCTGTAGCTCAAATTTTGTAAGAGATTCATGTCCTGATTTTGATATTGTGAATCTCGTGACAATTTTTCGAAGTTGTAAATTCCATTTTCTGGATAACTAATGAAAGTTCTTAGTTCGCAAAATTCTATTGAATGAATTATGCTATATGCCGATAGTTTCCTGCGTCATATGAGATATGAAAGTAAACTGTAGAAAGTCCATGCCTTCATTTCTTGAAATAAAATGCTTATTTTGTTTCATCTGTGTCATAGTTGAGTAACACCTTCTTCTTTCAATTGGTAGATGCTCGGGGGCCCCAAGATTTTTAAGAAAGAAACTGATGATCAGTGGGTCCGAGATGTTGATTTTTCTCCATCTTACTGCATTGGCCAATCTTCTGCTTTGTGCTTGGAGCTTCCACGCAGCGGCCAACTTCCGAGTTTTCAGGAAAATTTTCCCTGTTATAAAGAAGATGAAGGTCGCTTCTCTCTGGAATTGGGATCAACTTTCTGTCGAGGGCACTCAGATCTTGTTCCCATTTTGAGCGAAACTCAAGGAATTGAACTGCCATATGACATCGTGTTTAAAGTCAATTCCTTGGTCCAGCATGGCTATCTTCCTGGACCAGCACTTGATGCAAGTTTCTATCGTTTGATCAATCCATCTAGAGTAAAAATTGCATACATACAACATGCCCTGGAGAAACTGCATCATTCGATGGAGTGCTGTTATGATCCTGTAAGGTGGCTGGGGGAGGAATATCGGAAATGCATCTCCACTGGCAAACTTCCTGCACTACCTGTAGTTGCCGTAGATGATGGATTGGTACTTGTACGTCGGGTTCAGATAACCCCTACTAAAGTGTACTTCCGCGGTCCAGAGGTGAATCTCTCCAATCGCGTTTTACGCAAATATCCTGATGATATTGATAACTTTCTCCGGGTTTCTTTTGTTGACGAGGATCTAGACAGACTTTTTTCGACAAATATATCTCCACGGACATTTTCTGCCATTGAAGGCAGGCAAACAAAAATTTATCAAAGGATATTGTCGACTCAAAGAAACGGCATAGTTATTGGGTCCAAGAAGTTTGAGTTTCTAGGTTTCTCAGCAAGTCAACTGCGAGAAAGTTCTCTTTGGATGTTTGCTTCTAGAACTGGGCTTAGAGCAGCGGATATTAGAAAATGGATGGGTGATTTTCGTGAGATAAAGAATGTGGCCAAATATGCCGCAAGGCTTGGTCAGTCTTTCGGCTCATCGAGGGAAAGTTTCAATATTGATGAGCAGGAAATAGAAATCATTCCGGATATAGAAGTTAGAAGTGGTGGAGTCGAATATGTATTCTCTGATGGTATTGGAAAGATTTCAGCAGCATTGGCACATAGCATAGCACAGAAATTTGGCTTTCTAAGTTTTACTCCATCCGCCTTTCAGATTAGATACGGCGGGTACAAAGGTGTTGTGGCTGTTGATCCCACTTCCTCAAAGAAATTGTCGTTGAGGAGAAGCATGTCAAAGTACAAGTCAGCTAACACTAGCTTAGATATTTTGGGATGGAGCAAGTATCAGGCTTGTTATCTCAATCGTGAAGTGATTACCCTTCTATCCACCCTTGGAGTTAGGGACCACATTTTTCAAAGGAAGCAAAATGAGGCCATAGCTCAACTAAACGCTATTTTAACTGATCCATTAAGTGCACAGGAGGCACTCGAGTTGATGGCTCCGGGGGAGAACATAAACATTCTGAAGGAAATGCTTGCATGCGGTTATAAACCGGGTTCTGAGCCATTTCTTGCAATGATGCTGCAAACATTCCGTGCATCGAAGTTGCTTGATTTGCGGACAAGAGCGCGGATATTTATTCCACAAGGAAGAGCGATGATGGGATGCTTGGATGAAACCAGGACGTTGGGATATGGTCAAGCATTTGTTCAGTATTCTCGTGCTAGACATGGGCAGTTCCGTGATCATTTCAGAGGTGGCGAATCAGTGAGAAATACTCAGATTTTGAAGGGAAAGTTAATTGTCGCAAAAAACCCGTGTCTACACCCAGGAGACGTGCGGGTCTTAGAGGCTGTGAATGTGCCAGCTTTGCATCACATGGTGGATTGCATCGTTTTTCCCCAAAAAGGAAAGAGGTAAATTTCTTATTTTCTGTAGTTTTTGGTTTGAAAAGGACATTTTGAAGAATCGATATTGCAGAATTCCTCTTTTTCGCTATGAGGTTGCCATTGTCTATCTATAGTTTTGTGTTAGTCAGACTTCAATACGTGCTACAAGATTTATTTATTGCTTCTTGGGAAGGTTCTAGATGTTCTTAATGAAAAAATCATTTTACTGTACTGTTGTATCTTCTGTACGAGGCATTGCTTTTCCACATGGGCATTAAATTTCTTTATGCGAGCATAGCTTTCTGATACTGGTTAAATTTTTATCAGACCACATGCAAATGAATGCTCGGGAAGTGATCTAGATGGAGATGTGTACTTTGTATGTTGGGACCCCGATCTTATTCCTCCTCGGACATTTCCACCCATGGATTATACGGCAGCACCAACTACTATTTTGGATCATGATGTTACGATAAAGGTACCATTCAATCACTTGGTAGTGTGTTAACGTTTGTCTGAGACATCTCATTTTTACTCTTTAACAAGCAATTATATTGAATCCTTTGACTCAGATGTTCTTCTCATCATTTCAATTTGTCATTTCTAATTTTTGCATAAATTTGCTCAGGAATCGTCTCCTGAACATAGATGTCATTAATTGTTTTATTCCTTGACATGTTTCCAAATTCTGGCCTTTACATGCTACAATTTAATTTCAACCATTGAAATTTATGTGTAGCTGAAATATATTTCATATTTATTTGGATAGAAAGATGGTTTCATAAACAGAGATGCATTTATCTACTTGCAAGTAGCCATGGTAATGGCATCCTCGTTAGTTTAGACATTTTTCTGCCAGCAGGTGCAGTTTTCTTGATGAAACATAGAGAATAATGTGCCATCCTGAACTTTTTCGCTGATCTGATAACTAACGTGGGGTCAGTAGGATATTAGAACATAGCACTTCTTTGGATCTGGATAAGAAAAAAGACTAAAAATGTCGCTATTGTTAAAGTCAATTTGCCTGCTACTAAGACTTGCCTGGAGTCTGGACTGTGGAGGCAGGAGAATTTCAGTAGCTAGTTATCAGGAAAGAAACTATTAGATGGAAACGTTATTGTGGCTTCGACCAAGATATGACACTGAGGGAAGATGCTTAAACATGGGAAAATATAGGACTTGGGTTTATTCGAAAGTTAAATTTTGATACATCGTATCCAGTGCCATATACCATTACTTACAAACTTGTGTGTTCCACTAGTGAGAATATTTTGAGTGATTAATTGTGCAAGCTATAAAGTGCTATTACACAGTTTGTTTGGCTAAAGGGAGAGATTTTTGTTTTCTGATATTGATATATTGCCAGGGTAGTTCAGCATTGCTCGATGGTTTTATGTCCAAAAGTTCCGTTGATTTGAATTCCTGGTAATTAATGAAATGTTACATAGTACGGATGTTACAGGAAGTTCAGCATTGCTCGGACCTCATATACAAACACATCTCTGATTCATATACTGATAGACCTTTTCCCTTTGTGTTAACTTGTAATTTACTACAATGTCACAGGAAGTCCAAGAGTATTTTACGGATTACCTTCTCAACGACAGCTTAGGGATCATTTGCAATGCTCACACAGTCTTTGCAGACAGGGACCCTCTCATGGCAAGAAGTAAAGAATGTATTGAGCTTGCTCGGCTGTCCTCAATCGCTGTTGACTTCCCTAAAACGGGTGTGCCTGCTAAAATCCCTCGAGAACTACGTGTCAAAGACTATCCAGATTTCATGGAAAAGGCAGCGGATAAACGTACCTATGAATCCCAGCGTGTGCTTGGAAAGCTTTTTCGAGATGTAAGAGACTTTGCACCAGACACGAGTCCCGTAAGATCCTTCACTAAGGAAATGGCAAGGCGGTCTTATGACCCTGACATGGAAGTGGATGGATTTCAGGACCATATCGAGGAGGCTTTCCACTATAAAAGTGTGTATGATAACAAGTTGGGGAACATGATGGATTATTATGGCATCAAAACTGAGGCCGAAATAATCAGTGGTTGCGTCATGAAAGTGGGCAAATCTTTTGACAAGAAAAGGGACTTCGATTCTATTAATTATTCTATAAGGTCCTTGAGGAAGGAAGCTAGAGCCTGGTTTGACGAGAGCGACAATAGCCCTGATGATCTTTACCCAAAAGCATCAGCTTGGTACTACGTCACATATCATCATAGCTATTGGGGTCGCTACAACGTGGGAATGAACCGCGTTCATTTCCTCAGTTTTCCCTGGTGTGTCTATGACAAGCTTATTGACATCAAGAAGGGCAAAGCATTGGGTGGTGGAGGGGCTTCGCGGTTGACATCACTGGTGCACCGGTTCAGTCAAGCTTTCATTTAGAGATTGAGGACTAGAAGGCATCCCTTCTGCTGCCTCTCTGAAAAATTTGAAGCGGATGTTTGCATGATACTACCATGGTTTTCCTGTGCGACTACTTGGTTTTGCTTATTGTTATTACGTGTAGTGCATGCAGTATTGTTGTAGGGAGTGATTTTTGTTCTTAGTTCAGTGGTTGTAATTTGTCAGGATTTCTGTAATTCAATAAATGTTTGGTTTGCCTCTTTTTCTCCTGGAAGCTCTTTGCAGATATAAGATACGATGCTTGTTTTTCAGTAGACATTCACAAGCAACAACCTATCATTCAGGCTAGCTTGTTTTTGGATCACTGATGCCATCTCTACAGCATTACTGTCGAGAGAAGTCATATGTGCACACGTGAGCTGTAGAAAATATCCCATATTAATGAATCCCCGAGTGACTTTTATATAAGAAAGAACCCATAATCCAAGGATCTGGATTTCTTTTATTACAAAGATTATTTGGTTATGTGATAATAATTGTTATTTTATTTAAAATATATTAAAATTTATTTTTAATATTAGCACTTTAAAACAATCTAAAAAAATATTTTTTTTTAGTGAAAAAACAAATACATACAGTGCCCATATGTGGTTTATGTGGTTGTGGCTAATTTAAAGCTAATCTAATCTAATCTTGTTGTCGAGATAAGAAATTATTAGTGTAGGTGACTAATGCCGGTTACTTTTAGGTTTTAAAAATATTTTTAAAATAAATTGGATTTTTTATTTTTTATTTATTTTAAATTAATATTTTTTATATTTTCAGATTATTTTATTATTCTGATATTAAAAATAATTTTAAAAAAAAATATTAATTAAATATATTTTTAAATAAAAACATTTTAAAAAACAACTACCATTAAATTACTAAATACTTCACGTAAAAATGATGTTATGGTTTAGGATAGAAAACTACCTTCGTATGCGTTCCTCTCTGGCCAGCAATTTACTCGAATGAGGTCGCCTAACGTAAAATTGAAGGATGATATCATGGGGCTACGATCGATTTGTCACTTTTACAAATGAATTTTTTCTTAAAGTAGAATTTGCAGCTCCACGAACATGAACAGTTTAGAGGGATCGCAATGGAGGTGAACGGAGACCAGAACCACTCCTCGACATCTATATATTTCAGAGGTGTAACGGTCATTCTTTTAGACCGGACTTTGTCATCGGCAAGCTTCCATCAAAGGTCCGAATTTAACTTTATTTTCATGCATATATACATCGCAATTCACGGTGCCGACCTTTGCCTACCTTGCTTTTGTTAGCCTTTAGCTTTTACAGATTGAAATTATCATGTTAGCTTTTGTTTTTGCATGTGATTGGGTTTTAGGGTTTCAAGTGACAGTTGAATTTGACTGTTGTCGGAGAGAACGACCAAGGTTATTTTTAAAAATATTTTTTAAAAATATTAAAATAATAATTTATTTTAAAATATATATATTTTTTATATAATCACATCAAAATAACCAAAAACAAAAACGAAAATTAATTAAAAAATTCAAATTTTAATCAAAAACAAGTTAAATCCACCAGCCAAACACGCCTTGCTTTGCCCTCTGCATATATTTGATAATGTAACTTGACCCGGAGGACGGTTCTTCTAATCCTGTTTTTATCATCAAATAACCGTACTAGCGGCCTCTTAAGTTCGTCTGAGAGAGAGAGGACGAGTTTTTTCACGGATGGATTTTCTAAAGTAAATCCCAAAATACAGGAAACAAACAAGGGAGGCCACCTCTCTCTCACCGGAGAATCCCTTTCCTTTCGCCGCCGTAATTAAATATTAATGGGTTTGAGCGCTCATGGTCGTTGTCGCATTAGATAATTCATTTCATTTCGTCCAGTGGAAAAAATTCACATGCTTGGAAAATTAAAATCTTTTGAAGGCTTTTCGGGATTGCAATTGTTTTCCGCTGTAAAGGGCAACGTATGGAATGTCGAAACGTGGAAGTCTCGCGTGACTTCGCGCCTTTTCTTTTTCTTTTTCTTTTTCGTTTCTCTTTTCTTTTCTTTTCTTTTTTCCAAGGGTTCTCTAGCCTGCCTACGTAGAACGATAATCTTACCCTACGTCAGCGTCGACGTCACCATGCATCCGTCACCGTGCGATCATTGCCTTGCTTGCTCGTTAAGCAGGCGTCCGTCGCCGTGCGATCATTGCCTTGCTTGCTTGTTGGACGTGCATGATAATAAATAAATAAATAATGATAAGGGCATAGTTAATCAAATTGGGCTCTTTTATCCTGCGGTAAAATAATGGTTAAAAAAGTATTGGAAAAATAATATAATTTTAAGATAACTTCTATTAGAAATAGTGTTGTTTTAAAAGTTATATATATATATATATATTCAATACCATTAAAAAAAATTTGATGAGATAACATTAACAAAATCTTAAAAAATCATCAAATAATTTCATCATTAACCCTAACCAATCATAAAGTCATTTGATAGCTGTTAAAATTATATTATTAAAATCTTAATTAGAGTTTTGGTGTTACATTAATAACTTGTTATTTCTTTTCTTTTTTTTCTTCCACATTTCTTTCTCTTCTAGATCATTTTATCTCCTCTCTCTTTCTTAGTTATTGAATTCTAGATCTTATCTTTTAACTATTAAATTTTTATAAAAAAAAAATTGAGTTAATTTTTATTTAAATTAATTAATTTAGAAAAAACAAGCATTTTAATGGATAGCGATTATGTACAAAAATAATATTTAAAAACACGAGTGTGTTTAAACGACGCTATTTTACAAATATGTTTTCAACCTATATCATTCTTCTAGAAATTTTATGAAACTAAGTTACTTTTTAAAAATATCATCAAATTAGATATTTTCAAGATTTAGGTCACATTTGGAATTATAGCCCAGCCGTGTCTTTGAAAAAAATTAAGTTTTTTTTAGCTTTAAATTAGATTTTAGGTGTTTTGTGTTGTTTTAATGTTAAAAATAAATTTTTAAAAATAAAAAAAATATTATTTGAATATATTTTCAAACAAAAAATATTTTTATAAGTAATATTTACCATACTCTTAAACACGTCTCTTTTTTATTGCATTAGTACTTTAAAAATAAATAAATAGTATTTGTGCTTCAATTATAATTAGTTTAAGGTTGAATATTATCTGTTAAATCACATGAAAAGGTTGAAATATTTTGACTACATTTCAATTGATTGATAAATTATTTTTTTATGTATAATTATATTAGAGCAATCACATATATATATATATATATATATATATATGCTTGTGTATCACAAGAAAATCAAATATAATTTATTAATAAAAAAATATACCTAATGATGATATATAGCTATGACATATAATTAATATTTATTTAAGCTGGGTGGAAAGGCAATGTATATAATACAAGAATATTTATTGAGGTAACTGACAATTCAAATATAAATTTTTTGACTCCACTGTAAAGTATTAAGAAGTAAAAAAATATAGGTGTTATTAAATTTGAATAAATTATCTTGATGCAATGAAGTATTATTTTGTTAATTTGAGATATCTAAACGAGATAATTATTTGGAGCTATATAAAGATGGGAGATATCATTTATTAATTTTTTATTGATAAGAACAACTATAAAGTTAAGAAAAAATATTTAACCGTGTCTACTCATTCTTATAATATGTAATAAAATATATCTTTAGAATTTGAAAAAAAATATAAAAAATCTTGTAAGATATATTTGTGTTTCCTTACAAAACACAAGTTCAAATTATTATTGCATCATTGACACTACAAATTTTTTTAAGCCTTGAAAAGCTACAATATATACATATATACATGTAATTCTTTTTATTTTACATTGAATAATAAATAATATAATGTTGGATATTTAAAATCCAATAAATAATGTATAAGTATTTTTTTATACAATAAAAAACTATAAATTTAATAAAAAATAAATTTTTAAAATTTGTTTATTTATGTAGTTGTATTTTATTCTAACTACATATTCAATGTAAGTCGATTAATAAAATAATTTTATAATTTTAAATATTTATACCTTAAACATTTTGTTAGATCATGAAAAACTATTTATTTATTTAAAATGCTTTATTATCGTTATATAATATTAAATTTTTTATAAAATATTTTTATTTATTTTTATTTTTTTAACCATAAAAAAAACTAAAAAAAATCCAATTGAATTCTTAGATACCATTTAAAAATATGATACAAACTATATTTTTAAAAATTTAACATATTTTTTTGCTAAAACTTAAGTTTTTTATGTTCTACAAATTATTTTAATATATTAATATTAAAAATAAATTTTAAAATATAAAAAAATAATTTTAATATAATATAAATAGTTAAAATAAAATAATCACAAATACACTTCTAAATCAACTCTTCACCTTGCTGATATCACATTTTCTTATAAAAGAATGAAGAGAGTGAGAACGAATTGACTTAGCATTGACTGATCAACAGACCCAAGAGAGACCTGATTCTCATCTTTCTCTGTTTTCTTTCCTTTCTTGAGTGCATGCCAGTGAGTGAAGTGAGTGAAGCTCTTCCGTGGGATTTCCATATTTGGTGCTGGGTTGTTTCTACTTTCTCTAGTGAGTCTCTCTTTCTCCCTCATTTGCAGTCTTCCCTTTCCTTTTTCGTTTTTGTTTGCTTGATCCTTTGCTTGCTGTTTGGTTGGGTCTTTTTAAGATGTTGTATAGATAAGCCATACCTATCGCACGATAACTGTTGTAAAACTTCAGATTTGTACGGCCGAGTTTTGTTATCTTGCTTCTACATTGTTGTCTGTATTTTCCGTTCTGATCGTCATCTTTTTCATCAATTTTACTCGGGTATCGTCGGATTTTTTTCTCTTGTTGTTATGTGATTTTATCTGTAAAATCTTGAGTGTAACTTCTTTGCTCTTTTGGTACTTCTGGCTCTTACCTTATCAACTAGAAAGTCACGATTTGTATCGAGAGAGAATGTTTGTGTGGACAGTGATCTAGTACTTGATTAAGATTTTATGTGAATTGTAGAGATGGCATTGCCATAATGGTAAGTGAGTGGGGTTTATCTGACAAGGATGCATGATATATAGTTTGTGGACAGAATATAATTCTTTAAGATGAAGGAAATTCTAAGAAACTGAAACTTTTAATTTTTCTTACTTAATTCAGTGAATTTTTGTTATATTCCCTCATGGCTCAGGAATTTTTGACGACTTTGGAAAG